ATATAACTCATAAAAAATAGATTAACGGTTTAATATTAAAACAGTCAAATTTACAGTAGTCTAAAATTATCAGAAATTGGTAAAATTTTTATATTTTATATTTTTTTTTATCTCAAAAATAACACATATTACAGGTAAACTTTAAGCTTCTTCCACTGTTCTTATGCACACGTCTATGTTAAATATTGAATAATGATTTTACTTCATCAAAAGGTAATCCAATTCTATCATGTTCTAAAAATACAGGAATAGCTCCAAATTTAAGTGATTCAAAAATACGGGTTTGCATCATTGCTGTTGATATCATATCATTATCTAAAGGTGCTGGAATCAATGTAAAAGTTGACTGAGTAATAAAAACTTTACGTTTAGTTTCATCATTACATAAACACCAATCAATGATATTACTCTCAACTCTTTGATTCTCACAATCAGTTATTATATAAAACTGATCAACAGTTGTTTGTGTTATATATTTTTGTAACATATCAACTAAAAAAATGATAAATAAAATTGATTATCAAAATTTAATACATTAGTATTTCTAAATTACCAAAGTTTTGTTGGTGTTTGATAATGTTAGTATTTTTGTATCCTTCAAAAGATAACAAATATTTTCTTCTAGCAGGTAACATGTATGGAGAATCCATCCATACTTCTCCACCTGGTGGTCCAAGACTAACAGGCAAAATTATATCATGACCGTGACGAAAATTCTTTTCACTCCAAAAAGACTGAGCAAGTATGGCACGTCCAAAATCAATATTTTGATCAAAATTTGGTTTATTATAAATATTTTTACTTAAGTAAAATATTACATGATTTCTACCATCACCACCCCAAAAAGGAAGATGTTCTAATTGAGTAATGTTTATAAAATTATGAGTTTCACCAATTAAAGCAACATATACACAAGCATTATTAGAACTGTTTGTAAAATGTGGGTTATAACGTAAAACTTGAAAAACAATTTTATTCAATGATGTAGAAACTAATTCAGGTAATTCTTCAGAGAGATAAAAGTAAAATGGAAATCCTGATGTTAATGAACAGCGAGAATAATCAAAACAATTTTTCATATTGCGACATGTATAATGTGTGTTTACAGGTAAAGGTATAAATGAAGGAGGATTTTGTGGTAATATTATTCTTGGTGGGGCTAGGTTAGGAGAATTCTGTATAATAGCTTCATTTTCTGCAACTTGAGCCTAAAATAAAATAATAAATTGTCATACCTATATTTTTAGAGAAATTAAAAGTATCAAATTAACTTGTTTCACAGAAATTTTTAGTTTTTCTAATTCCGCTTCTTGACGTATAACTTCTGCTTTAGAATCCTCAATTTTTTTATGGTTTAGAGCAAGTTCATTAAGAAGTTTTTGTCGTTTTCCTTCAATATTTCTTAATTCATTATTCACTGAATCTAAAAAAGGCATTAAGAACATTAAACATATTAAAATGTATACTTATAATCTTTCTTTTGACACATATATATGTTGTAATTAGAATGTTGAATAAGTCAGTTTATAAAATAGGCATACATGTATACTTAAACGAGTTATTTCATACATTCCCATTTCTCATACCAATAATATATTAAATTATACTATATTGTTATTTCACTATTCAATATAATAATAGATCAGATAAAATTGTATAATTACATACTCTCTATCTATAAAGTATGTCATATTTAAAAATGTATTATCAGTAGTAACTGTTCAGAATGTAACAATAAAATTAAGATCTGCTAAAATTGTTTAATCGCTTCAATTAGTTAAATATTCTTTGACATATACTTGCAATGAAAAATGTGAAACAAAATAAATACGTTTACAGAAAAAAATAAGTATTATAAATTCTAAAATTATAGTTCTCTACAAATAAATAATATATAATTATAATTACTTCGCAAAAATTTATTAATTTTTAATGTTTTTATTTTATTTTTAAATATATTCCATACTTTAACAGAAATCAAATTAAAATTGTATATAATAACTAAATATTGTATTAAATAACTAGTTAAGTATAATAAATAATATTTTTTTCATATATTATTATATACTTAAACTAATATAATACTTGTAGCCAATTACCTAATAAATTATGTAGTTATTTCATAAAATAACATTATTCAACGCTCAAACTATAATGTATAATACAAATAATAATAAATGTAAATATAATATCACATTAAGTATAAACATATATAATACTTATTTTAATTACTTTTTATTCTGACTAATTCAGCTATTCTATGTTTTAAGTCGGTAGCTCTAAAAACGCCATAGTCCCCATGAACTTCCAGTTTTGAATGTGTGTTATAAGAATTTTCAAACCCATCTTTTTCTTCCTGAAATATACATAAGCATAGAAATGTCAAGAACTTAATTTAATTTAACATTTACTTACCTTTGAAAGATAATAATGACCTATCAATGGTGTAATAATTAACAAGACTAGGACAGTAAAGAATAAACGTGATTTAAATTTAAAAGTAGACAGACAAAGAAACATTAAGCAGTTTGATCAGACAATGATATCAATAATTAAAATTAATGAAAAGATGAGAAAAAGTCTAATAATAAATAAAAATCACACATTTCTATAGCAGTGCACTATAGACGTTATTGAGAAACATTAAACAACTTTGAAGAAATAAAAATCAATTATAATTTTAAATTTTAAAATTAAGCATGATATATTGATGTGATAAAAAAAAATTTGAATTCACAATTCTGTTATCAAATTTTATCCAATGTGATTACTATGATTATGATAGTGCAAACCTGGGTGGTTGCTTAACTATGCATAAATACCACGATTTAAGATGATTTTAAATTTCCGTTAACAGAATAACTAATTAAAATAAAAAAATCATTTTTTCGTGCTCTTTATGAAAATATTCTCACATGTTACCATACCATGTTTTTCGTTTAGAGTGACGCTAGAATAAATAAAATTTAACTTGATAATCCTTTTTTAATGTTTTCATAACTTTTTGAGTACCTAACCATATAGTTATAGTCTATAGATACTATTTAATATCATGGTAAGGACCAGTGGTCTAAGTTGTGATCTTGGGAAATTAAAATCTCAGTATAAAAATGATTAATGAATTCATTTTTATATTTTCTAAATAATTTAAATTGCCTAAAAAATAAAATATAATTTAACTCGCACTAAGTGAGTAGGTAGTAGGTACCCTAGGTCAGAGACTCATCTCGGTCTTATCGGATACCTGAAATCATTGATTATAGAATCAATGCCTTTAATTAATTAACTGGATTTAAAATTTAGGAGAATTTTTCATTTGCGCCAAAATAAAAAAGGAAGGTATGTTTTTTTCCGACAGCCCATTTGCACCAAATTAACGTGTGTGAACAGTTTACGTTAACGAATTGGTTAATTCGTTTATTTATAAGACATCGTGCCTGTAACGTATAATAAAGTTATTTTTATAAATCTATAGATTTTAAATTTAACTGCAGCATGCAAGCGTGTAGCTGTCGTCTGTCGAAGATATAAATATTCATCCTAGGAAAATCATTTTAACTGAAATGAATAACTACATAGGTAACTAATTTACATTTTGCTATATCTGATGTAGGTATTTGCTGTTTGAAAAAGTAGGTATTTGTGTTCATAAAAATCTTTTCTTTCAAATCCTAAATCTGCGTCAGATGTTTGTAAAGCATTTAACGATATATATTTCATTACTTCTAAAAAACGAAGATTAAAATGTGTATTATTGATTATTATTTTAAAAAAAGGGGACACACTAGTTGCCTCCCGAAGTCAAAAAGGTCAATAATTTTTATACGAATAACGAATTGCTTCCCGACAATCCCAAACAGCAAATGTTTATCTAAAAATACTATTATAACATTATTCTACATATTATTATACCTAAGATTGATGTTTTTAACTGCACTATATATTTTTAATAAGTAATATAATATGTTTTATTTTTATATTATTATTGTTTTTAACCAACTCTGATATTTTTAATAATGAATAAACATTACCTATTTATGTGGAACTGTTTAGTGAAGTTTATGAACCACTACTTAATTCTATATGGGAGGCAACTCGTATATAATTATGAACTACCTGGTCATCGGAGGCAACTAGTGTAAATTAACCTTTTTATTTACGATAAGGATGGGAGGCAATTCGTATATTTTGGGAGGCAACTAGTATACGCCGAAAAAAAATCGTAACTTAAAAACTTAGACATACAAACCTAAAGTTTAATTCGAACCATTTCTTTAAATTACCAAAGGTACCCTCAGAGTGCAGATTAGTACTATTAATGGGCATAAATAGAAATTATTATTTTTATTGTTGTTATTATAAATATATAATTATCTTACATTCTTACTTTTGATTATATATCTATGTAATACCATACGATAAATAAATTATAAGCCACATACATTTAAACCTATTGATTTTGAGTATTTAGGATAGAAAAAATAAAGTTAAGAATAATAATCCTCAGTATCTATTCAAAAACTAAAATTTAATATCCAACTCAAAAACTACCCGTTCTATTTTCGTTTTGAATAAATCAAAATTTTAAATTTAATAAACTCCTTAACAATCTATATCACAGTTTATACTTAATAAATAATTTACAGTAAAAACGAATGGTTATCGTTTGAAAAAAATATTTTGAATTTCGTTAGACTACACTGAATACACGATATTCCTTAAATTGAATAAAATATTTAAATTTAAGTATTTGAAAATATAGTGCTTAAGTGTACATAAAAGTTCTTAAATTCAAAAAGGAATCACTAAAGAAAAATAATGACGGGAGCATGCTTGGTTAATTTCATTAAAAATACTAATCTTGATATTAATAAAGTCTTACTGTATATTGTAGGACTAAAGCTAAACTAAAATAAATAAGTCACAAACAATTTCTTTTAATCTTTCAAAAATCAAAAAAATAAAACATTATTTAGATTTAAAATACTTATTATCTGTTTGTTTTTTTTTATTCTTACAATTAAAAATCCTTGTCATCTGGATTATTGGCTTACAAATATTTACATTATAGTTATTTGTAACATGTGAAATAATATACAGATTTGTTTACAATATGGATGTGTTGTTTGATCCCAATAGCGGCTTTCTGCTTTCTGCCTTCTGGTATATTGTTGTATTATTGGTTTTAATTTTTAAAGTTCATAAAATTAAATTTATTATAATATTCACTTGAATTCTCTCCATGCTTCTAAATCTATTTTGAAATGTTCATCACAATTCCATTTAATCGAAGAAAAACTATTATAAACATAATATAATATATATTAAAAATTAAAATATTATTAAGTCTACTTAAAATAATAGGTACTGATTTCATTAAATTATGTTATTAATATATTCAAGTCAAGCAAAAAATCTTAGCAAAATAATGAAATTATATACATCAATATTTTAAATAGATATCAACATTACCTACATAAGTTATACATTACAATTTACAATTACTTAGAATAATAATAAAATATTTTTTTTAGTTTATATATGAATAAAGGTAGGCAAATGGATACCGCTTTGCTGTACATTAGGTGTAAAATGGGTTATGATTATGATGGGGGTGTAAATTTGAATTTAATGATGTAAATGAAAAAAATTCTGAAAGATGATCGACTATTAGCTTATATCACAAACCACACAAACTTTATTTCATGATGTTTTTTCGACATACATTACAACTATTAAAGTAATTTATTTTTGTTTTAATATAACAATAGTTGATATATTTTTTCCGAAAATATTGCATTTATTTTATTATTATTTATTACCATTTAATTATTATTATAATAATAATATGATATTTACATACAGATGTTATATATATATTTATAACATATTACATCAATTTACTTATATAACTCAAAATATTACAACATCTGTATGTAAATATCGTAAAACAGTAAAAATAGATAATATCTTAAAATAAATTAAAAATGTCATCGTGTATAATAAAATTCTTAATAACATAAGTACGTAAAAGTTTTAAATTATCACGAATAATTATTTCAAATTATAACAGAATAACAGAATAATTAACATTTTAATTTTTTATCGTTAAAGTAAGTTTAAGGAATTTTATATAAAAATCACAAAATTTAGATACACATAAAATGAAATGTTTTAGTAAATTTCTTACTACTGAATAATTTGCTAATATTTGCGATTTTTACGAATTATGTCAAAATTTTAACATTAAACGCTAAGTATTATAATTATAGATTTTCAAAACTTTAGAACTATTATTAACCTAACTATGAAGCTTCATATTAATTTTTTAAGCACTTCTTTATCAAAATCACAAAAAAAAGACTAAAAAAATTAAAAATTTTAAAAATAGTCAAAATATTTTGAAATTTTTATTATACCTATAATGAAAATGATGATAAAAAATTTGGTAAAAATTTCATGAATTACACCAAACAAACAAGATTTTATCGACAATTTGGTTTTGCGTAAAAATTCCGTTTTCATTAAGTGTTTATTCTTTTTCCCAATTATAAAAAAGTATCTGGAATAATTTACCAATAATTTGTTACTAAAAACTAAACCTATTTTGTGAATCAAATCATTTAATCGACTACATTGTATTATTTTCATTTTTTTTTTTTTTTTTTTTTGTACGATAATAAGTCATAAAAAACAATTGTTCAGAATTTAAAATTTAAAACCTATAGAAGATAATATAAAATAAATTTTGTGATTTATTTAAAAAAAATTATAACTCTTATATTATTTAATATTATTAATATTTAAAATAAATTATACATACTCATGTAAACTTTTAAAAATATCTAAAGGTAGAGTTAATAAATTAGTTGTAGCGCATATGACATGGCCTAAATTAATTTGTTTTATCGTTTTTAGTTGTTCTGGAAAATTAAAAAAAATACTATGTAGTTAAAATGAATATATATTATAAGTATTAAAAATAAAATACCTTGTGTGAAACTACCAGGTTGTCCCTGTACGTCGTAAAAAAAGCGATCACCATACTTATATCTAAAAAAGCTATCAGATAATATGCATCTAGTAGTAGGTCCAACCATGGATCCTTCTTCTGGCATCTCAAGTAGTGCACCGACATGTAAGTCTATGTCGTGTACTGTTGCATAAAGTGTTTTTAATATTTGTATTGCCTAATAAAATAAATTATTTTTATTTATTTCATTTGTTATACTTATGAATTGTAAAATTAACTTTAAAAGGTATTAAATCCAATAAATCATCAAACGAATTGGCCCGTGGTATTCCACAAATAGTTCTGACTTCATTGTATACTGGTAAACCGACATCTCGGCCTCGCTGTATATCAATTGATAATAAATCTTGGCCAGTAATGTCCGGTAAATTAAAGCGAAAGAGGAAATTCGAAATCTAAAGATAATTAAACTATTTTTTATAAATGCAATTGCTATAAAATAAGTTATTAAAATTATTAAAAAATATCAATTATAATTTATAATATAAACAAAAATCTAACCAATTGATTATATGATGGTTGATATTCACGACCTGGAGTTTCAACAAATCCTCTTGTTAACCAGTCAACATTTTTTCCCATGGGTAACAAATCAGGTCTATCCATCCAATCCGTTAAATTAACTTGAAATGCAACTTTGTACATTTTATCTATAAAGCTAAGAAAATATTTAAAATATATAAATACCAATTTATATAAGAATTTAAATTCATCTAATAATGCAATGTTGAACAACGTGTATAGATTAGTGTTATAATTTAAAAATAATTTTGAACATTTCAGTATATACATAGAAAATAACTGATATAAACACAACTTACGAGGAAATTTGTAATATATTTTTAAGAGTTTTTACTAACTAACTAGACATTTTTCTAAGGGGGGCAAAATTAATTTAAAAAATAAATAAAGATTTTTTTTATACATTTTATTTATAATACATTATCATGTTTTGTTATTATTACAATTAAGTATTATTATTATACATTTTGTTTATAGAACATTATTATGTTTCGTCAGTATAACATTAAATTATTACAATTAGGAAACAAATTTAAAATTCTAGGGGGGAGCGCAAGTGCCTCTGTATATATATTATATATTACCCATGCATTGAAGAATGTTTAATATTCAATTATCATAAATATAGTTAAAATAATTTAATATTTAAAAATACCATTCGTAGAAAATTTAATATAAATATTCAATGTTAATTTTAATTAAGTAGTTATAGGCACGTCGCACAGTTATTCATTTTTTAATAACAAGAAAAAACAAAACTAATTTTGTTGAGAACTAATTTCCCATACATTTTTTTTTAATTTTGAAAAGTATTAAAAATACCAAATTACTTTAAATCCCCCCTTCTCTCTCCCTGAAAACTAAATACAATTTGTTATCAGTAACTATGATATTTAGTTTTAATTAAAATATAATATATTAAAAAAAAAATATTTATTTTTATTATTATTTAATATTTTTTAATTTAATTTAATTTAGTAGATTTTTACTGCACCAAAAGATATTCATGAACAAAAATTAAATCACTAGGTAGAAATTAATTAATTATTTATAAAAAATGATAATATATAGGTATACGTGGCTTGAAGTGGCGCGTTGGCTGCTACCAGTCGCGGAATATGACTGAGAGTAAGTAACGGCCACAGCTACTAACTCCCGGATGGGTGACCACCCGGGATCATAGTGGTTAAAAACTTGCCACACATACACGTGTTTACTATCAACCGTAACAATCTTAAAAAAAAAAAAAAAAAACCTATCGTACGTACCAACCTTACCCCTATCACAGTTAATGACCCTAGTCACCGAAGCCTTTATAGTTCAAAAAAAAAAAAAAATAAATATAGGTATACGTAATAGAAACAAGTTTTAAACCTTTACAATTAATACATATTGTGTTTCATAATTTTTTTCAAATACTGTTAAACCAATTTATAAGGATCATATAGTACACAATTTTTAAGTTTAAGTAAATTTTTATAATTTAAAAAAAAAATTTTAAAATTTAAGCTTTAAAAAAAAGTTTAATTTGCTATAAATACCATACAATTAGTTTAATTGTTTAAACATGCCATTGTGTATATAAAATAATGTATTAATAATAGAATTGTTTAAGTCTTTAATTTTTTTTTTTTGTACTCTTTTCCACATGCACATACATCACAACACACATTAAATCATACGCCATTGTTACGTTCTATTAGATATTAAAACGTCACTGAAACAACTAAGTATAATAACTTAAAATTATATTAGTTATTAGGTTAATAAGGGAGGAGATCTCTAAAATATATTAAATACCCATTTATTTTTTAATTTAAAAAAAATTAAACACCTATATAATTAGGTAATTATAATAATAATGTAATTTCTAATGTAGATACTAATAATATTAAAAATTGAATTTGTTATTTTTCCTAAAAAGTTTATGCGTAGCATACATTTTGCCCTTTGCCCAATATGGTATGCAAATAATACATATTTTTATTATTTATACTCATTGTCATAGTTTTATATGGAGAACACTTTATTTAAATAATTATTAAATAGGTAGTAAATATTAAATACCATACTTTAATTGAGCTGGAATTTGATTATGAAGTATTCGAAATGAACTAGCAGCAAATTCTAAAGATGTAGATGGATTTATTTTATCATTGTATATCGTTTGAGGAGTAAATAAACCATAATATTCTGTGTACGTTTCTCCTAAAAGTATAAAAGGTACCGATAACAAAATAGTTATATTCAAAAAAATACATTGTTATACCTAATATAATAGGTAAATAATGATCATAAGTAATGTGTTGAATAACTGCTCCAATAATTTTTCTAGTTTCTTGATAGAGCATTTCATCAGACCAAAATTGGTTTAAGTAAAGTAGCTTGGAAGCTAAATGGTTATGAAATCTCAAGAATAAATTATGAAGAAGTGCATTTCCCAAATTCTGATTTATGCGAATATCTCCTGTATAAAACAAACCAAATAATCTATATAAATAATTTTTTTTCTCTAATTTTATTATTCTTAGCATTTCTTATCTAAATAAACTAAGTTTATATATATATATAGCATAATTTATAGTCAATGATAGTATGTTTAAATGTTGTATATATTATATATACTAAACAGTAATGACAGTATAGTTAATAATTTGAAATGTTTGAGACGTACATGATAATATGTCATTTAGACTAGTTAAAGTTGTCTAATGATTGGATGATTGGATTATCGTGGTGATCTATGATTTCATCTCGTGTTTATGAACACATTTTCGGACTTCGTTTGTAAATTGCAATTGTATTGCAGTATTAGCTATGTCATGGATAATTGCATCGTTTCTTTTGAACCGATAAGCTACAGTAATGAATAACGATCCAAATAACGATGTTTTGACCGAATTATATCAATATTACTATGTTAAACTTACTGTCAAAACCATACAATTGGGCTTATTTTTGGGGTAAGAATAAGGTAATAGAATTTAGTTGGACTAAGTTCAATTTCCACAATTTCACCAACGAATGCTTGTAGCAATGGGTTAAATTTTTATTTTCTGACTAAATTGAATGTCGCCAGATTATCACTATAGGTTTTCAAAATAGTTAATTAAGAAATTAGATTTTAGTGAAGTCCAATTATAACCAATAAAGCTTTTTAATTTTTTCATGAATATATATTTTTTATTGGGCTTAGTGTTTTCAATTTAAAAGTTAAAGACACATCATCTAGGTACATTATAGCTATAAATTAATTACAGAAATTTAAAAAAACAATAGTAAAATTTTTTTTCTTCAAAATTTACTTTAAATTTTATAATTTTTAGCTTTAACACTATAGACAACATGTTTAATTAATAATTAACTACCTATATAAATTATAATAATTTATTTGATACTTAACAGATACCGCTGAGAATAACTTCTCATTAGAAAACATAAGTTAAACCTAATCTTAAATTTTACCAATTTTGTATAAATTAAGTAATAGTATTATTTAGCTTATTACTAATAAATTATTAGTTTAGAGTAATATTAAGACTATAATATATGTTAATAATTTATACCAAAAAGAGTAAATCGTTTTATAATTATAATCAACTAACCAGCTTGAAAGCAAGCTTTAGAATTTGTTGATGAGTCACATTGTAGTGTTGTTCGATTCACTTGTGGGCAAAATTCTTCAACTCGAGTATTTTGGTTACTCTTAAGAATATCAGATCGGAGTTTTCCGTTTATGAAAGATCTTAGTCCTGCTGCTATTGAATCATTAGATCCATAGATATGAGATCCATCAATGTATTGAGAAACTTCAACCATCTAAAAATTAAAATATATGTATATATAATATATTAATAGAATTGTAGACATAAAACTTTTTATATTGTACTAACAAATGTAGCTGGCATTATTTGACAACTGAAATTAGCTGATGTTACTGCGCGGTTAAATGACATGCATGTTTTGTTATAATTTAAGTAAATTGGATCATTTTTTGGTATATTAATTACATTTTGACATTGAGTTGGTACTTTAGATACATTTTGAACTGAACAACAATTGTCTATAAAATTTAAAAAAAATTATTGCTGTTAATCATCATTATAGCATATATTTTAAAATTTTAAAAATTTAATACTAGTTTTACAGGATTTTAATAAATATTAATTAAACTATTAACATTAACTGTAAAATACATAAAAATCATTAAATTTATGCTTTATAGTATTAATAATGACTTTACCAACAGAGAAGTCTGGTGTCAAAAGGGTGATATCATGAGCTATAAATTGTCCCCATTGCATTAAGAGTATATTTAGTTCATCAAAATCGTACCATTGATTTTTCAAAAATAATTTTGTATTAATTTCTCTAGCTCCTGGTAACTGTGATCCGTTTGATTGTTGTCGAAATTTATAAATACCTAAAAACCATTTCGGTTAAACAAGTCAAAGAAACATAGGAACAAACATGTCATATAATTTTTATCAAGTTACAACCTAAATAATCATTAAAATTTTTAATATTTATATAATAATATTATTACTATTTCATAATTATTATTAGGTTCATATTTAAATTAAATTACTACAATATGTTTTTTTTATATCAAAAATGAAAATTGATGATTCTAAATTAATGAACATCATGAAAAAAAAAATAGTAAACATACATCATATTTATAATTAATAATAAATACAAGTAAAATACCAATTATTTACCATCACTATACTCAGCATTAAGGATTCTCAGAAATGGAGTATTAGATGCGCCCCATGTAGGTACTCTTAAATTATTACATGATCCATTGAAAGTTCTATACTTAGAGTTTGGATTACATATTATAAATGGTGCACATCTCTTCATGTAATCTTCATTTGTTAATGGAAATACATCTGTGTGTAAAAATGGTGACTGTGCCTATTTTAAACCAAAATCATTATTTTATAATATGTACTAATTATAATACTATTAGGTATTTAATACATTATTTATATATAGTACGTATGTATGGTGATTTAAATGTTAACAAAAATTTAACTTAGTTCTTCAATCTCCATTCTTTATTATAGGTAATATGAATATCTTAAATATATATATAATATGTACGTAACATGTATATATATTGATTTAGTATTTAAATTAATTATTAATTTGCCTATCATTGAACATTCGAAACACATGCTCAGAGAATTTGTAATATTATTGCGCCTCTACCAGAGGTCCTCTAGTGTATTATAATTTAGTATACTATATAAATTATACTAAACCGTTTTATTTGATAGGTATATTAAGTTCAACGTCCAACGAGTATAGGTATTCTAAAAATTGTATTTAAATTATTACAATAATAAGTTTTAAAATTTTGTAAAGTACGAATAACCCAAGTTATAACAGGTAATCAATTGTTAATAGGATATTAAATTATTATTATTATGGTTTCATTGAATGTTTAAAATTCGTTATTTAGATTTAAAAATTAGTTAATTATTATAATCTACTTGTGGTTGTAAAATATACCTGAGTAGTGAGTACAAAATAGATGTACCTAGATTATAGTTTAATACACTTCATTTAAATTGACTAAATTTGAGTGATTGTAAGTTGGAATCAAAAATCAATAACAACATTTATCATTATTTATTTTATAGATTTAAACATATGATTAACTAAGCTAGGTAATCGTGGATATAAATATAATATAATATATTATAATACTATTGATTATAGAATTAAAGATAATTCTAATATCCTATAATCAATAATAATACGTAACTCTGTAGGAACTTAATAATATGACCGTATAGGTATAGTCAGCAATCATTAATCACTAATTAGTATACGACTTATAGGAGTACGTACTATTAATGATTTCATAAAATTTAAATGATCAGTAGTATTTAAGTATTACACTTATTTAATATTTATAACAAATATATATCTACTATATCGGGTTTGGATAATAATTATAGGTAATAGCAGAATAACATTGCAAATAATGATTAATAATTAATTAATTCATGATTATTTATAGATTAAAATGATTATATTATAGCCTTTATTTCTTGAATAATCTTCTTGGGACATCATTAATTTGTTAATACACGATTTTTTCTAATACTTTATCACTTTACAGTTGTTATAAGTTATAACTAGATAATATAAGTCTTAAAAATAGCTACTTTAAAGTGAAATTTGAACCTAATTTCCAATATATCTACATTATTGATTAACCTATTTACAAAATACAGCGGAAATCGCTCTTCCCGTATAGATGACGTCGAGCGTTTATCGCCACTGAGTGACTTAAGTACCTACTGCATCAATATATGATGAATAATGAATATTCATCGATTATTTGTTTTTGAATTACAATAAAACGAGAAAATCGAGTTTTAAAAATACTTATTTTATGTAAAAATGATTGTAGATCCATATTTTTTCCATTTATCAAGAAAAATACTGGGAAGTGGAAATCAATTAGTTTTGGTCCCCCAAAAGACAAACTAGAATTACTTTCTTATTTGAAAAGATGCAGAAGTTAAAAATCGAATAGATTATAAATAAATTAGATAATTGATAGTTATGTTGATGAATTTTTAAAAAATTTAGTATTTATTTAAATACAAACTTGAGTACTAGTAACTAGTATAATAGATGTATTGTTTTACTTACATGCGTTTGTAGAAGAATTGTTATTGATATAATAATTATTATCTGTATATATGTAGTAAAATATGCAGCAAAAGTGTAAAAATAACTTTTTTGTTGAACTCCTATCTTCTGTGTCATTTTATGTTATGAATATATTGAAGTAGGTAATGTGTTTAATAGTAAAGAATAACTAATAGTATCTAATACCAAAACATACACTGCTACTTTTATAGTAAATAGCAAATACCCCATTATAATAACGCGTAGACTCGTAGACATAACTTATACATTATACATTAGATCCGCTCAATTATTATGATTTTCAGGACAAAAAAAATAATTTCTTATTCCTTTCATTTAGTTACAAGATTTAATGGAATTAAGTATTTCATAGTACTTATATAAATAAATCTATGTACATTAAACATAAATATATTATATACATGTTCGTTAAAATTGAGAAAAAACGAAATTATTAATCACTTTCTATGAAATATAATTTACGTAATAATAAATATATAATGTTCTTACATTATATATTATTATTATCATATAGCTTAGCACGGGTTTGTATTAAAACGAGTAAAGATTATTTACACCTTACGTTTCAGTATTTTGTATAATACTTAATGTAAATATCATGGAAATTAAAAAATAGTTGAAAGCTATTTAAAAACCCGTTAATGCATATGAATATATGATGTATTTTTATTCCCTCATTCTCCTTTTTGGGACTTATGGGTCTTTTGAACAATAATTTATTATAAATTAAATATAAAAGTATAATAAATATAATTTATAAAATTATTACTTTTATAATTATTGTATGAATATTGTTTAGTTATTTTATTATTTTGTTTATAGTATATATTATTATATAAATGTTATTATCAAATACTTTATATTTTAAGAGAAGATAATCAAAACAAAAATAGGAATTTGAAAGAATTATTTATTTTGTATTGTAAATTAATGTTTGTGATATTAATTAGTTTGGCTATAATGCAGAGGAGGGGCAGCAGACGCAGAGGCCCCATAGATGTCTGATCAATCTATATTGAAAACACTGAAAATCCTAACCAAACTAAAATCCAGTGTGCGCTATTTAATTGCTAGCCATGCACACAGTAAGTTAATTTTATATTTCAATACGGATTATACTAAAAAACCCTACTTAGACACTTAGTTTTAAAATTATTTTGAAAAAATTTCGCATCATTAATAGTATATATTTTTTTAATCAGTGTTTAGAAATATCATATATCAATTTTCTATCTTCGTAACATGAAATATGAGGTCGTCATAAATCATCCAACACAAAAAATAATTCTTAACGTTTGTTATTTTTCATTTAATATTTATAGTTTAATTTCAATGATCATCAATCAATATTTTTAAAGAGCTATTTAAAAAAATTCCTGTAGTTTACGTTTTATTATTATCAAATGATCAAAGTTAAATGTACTAATTTATTTAAATAAAAGTAACTTTTTATTAAGAGGCTTTACATTGCACTTTTTATGAAATATCAAATAATCTTAGTTGTTATCTAGGTAGTAGGTACTATGGTAATATCTTTAGCTGTAGGAACACAAACCTAGTTATGGTATTAAATGGTATCACAGAGTTATGAATCAAAAAAATAGACGTGGTTATACAGGTTATAAAGTTTCCCGCCAATTTCTGATAGACAACAACAAAACAATAAACACTATTACAGTCAACACTCAACAGTATAATAATATGCTATAGGGAATAGGGAAAGATTGTCCGGCTGTTGAAAATAATTCCTAGCTATTTAAGTTTATTTTGTGAATCACAGTTAATATTTTTCGCTCACTGTTTAGTGTTTAGCCGTATTGTCAATTCCTAAATCGTAATTCGCTTTTTCTCTCATCGTCGTCTATGTTAATTTTTATATACATTGTCGTGTATTTTACAATAATCATTTCTTGTTAAAATTAATCTAATCGTTGTACCTATTATTCAATATGGATGTCGCAGAAACCCAGACAGGAGTCAACAGGGTACGTGATCAGTTAAAAGTTAGATCACAAAAATTATTTCAAGATTTCTTAGAAGAGTGAGTTTGAATTATAATTTAATTTTAAACTACGTTGTAGTGGTTTTATAATATTTCTCTATATTTTAGATTTGTTGAAGAGGGTTGTAATGAACCTAAATACTTGGAATCTGCTATTGAGATGACAAATTCTGAACGTTTCACATTAGAGGTTAGTTTCCTTGATGTTGAAAAATTCAATCAGAATCTTGCTATCACCATTCTTGAAGAATATTATAGGTAAAAATTGTTAATATATATATTAATATATACTTAGCTGAATCTATGTTATTTATTTAGAGTTTACCCAGCTCTGTGCTTAGCTGTTGGAAATTTTGTAATTGATCGAACTGAAGCTACAGGAAACCAACAAGATTATTTTGTGAGTTTTGTAGATGTTACCACTAGGTTTAATGTAAGAGAATTAACAACTTCTAAAATTGGTGAGTTGGTACGTATTTCTGGACAAGTTATTAGAACACATCCTATTCATCCAGAACTAGTAGCTGGACATTTCACTTGTCAAGACTGCCAGACAGATGTTCCAAATGTTGAACAACAATTCAAAGTAAGCCTTAATTTTAAAAACAATCTAAATGTATATATTTTTATAAAAGATAAATCATACTCAGTTCAATGATTGTCTATCAAAATTTATTGTGGGATTGCCATTAAAAATATTTAATTAAAATATATCAGTGCAATACACTATTATAATAGTGTATAATATATTTTATGTAATAGTCATACTCTTTTACCAAATTGAATAATATGTTATTTGAAATAATATTGTATTTTAATGACCTATTAAATATCATCAGTCATCATAAATGAGTTATGTTTTGTACTATATATTTTTGGAATTATATTTCAGAGTATGTTGTTTTTTGCATTATTAAAACATTGTCAACTTTTATTCAACAGTATTTTAATTTGTTGAAGATAATATTTATCTAAAATGTTATCTTGTTAATTATTTAATATCTCATATTTTGAGTTTGAAATTATACTGATTTATCTTTATATTCATTTTTAATTTTCTCCATTTAATTATCATATATTTATATCCAATTGAGTATTATATACTTAAAATTATTTTTTCATTTTTGTTTTTACCTTAGTATTTGAATAAAATAATATTGATTTATTTATTTTTTATCCAATTACTGAACAAATAATTTTGTATAAGACTACCAACATTTTATTAGCAAAATCAATAATAAAAATACAATTTGTAAATAAATATTTTGTATTTAAGCCTATTAATAATTTTTTTTAGTATACGCAGCCAACTATATGCCGGAATCCAGTTTGTGCCAATAGAAGGAGATTTAATTTAAATGTTAATAAATCTCGATTTGTTGATTTTCAAAAAATTAGAGTACAAGAATGTCAATCAGAGCTTCCTCGTGGGAGTATTCCACGAAGGTATTATTTCCTACTAAAATACTTAAAATACAAAATATAAATTAAAAGATTATATAACTATATTTATCATTTTAGAAAATAACTATGAATACTATAACTACATATTATTTATTTGTTTCTTAAATGTATATAGAAATCATACTATTATAATAAAAAATTACAAATGATTATTTAACTCAAATTTCTAATTATTTAGAAATTAAGTAAAAATTATATCTTTTATTTATGTATATTTTGAATAATTTTGTTATTTAGCCTTGAAATTATCCTAAGAAATGAAAATGTTGAAACAGTACAAGCAGGTGATAGATACGATTTTACTGGTACACTGATTGTGGTCCCTGATGTAAGTGTTATGTCCACGCCTTCTGCAAGAGCTGAATCTGCTTCTGGACAAAAACGAGGAGATGCAAATAATGAAGGTGTCAAAGGATTGAAATGTTTAGGAATCAGAGATTTGAATTACAAATTGGCGTTTTTAGCATGCAGCTTATCTGTAACCGGTTCAAGAGTAAGAAATTGTAGAGATAAAAATCTTTTTTTTTCTTTATCTGTAATGTCAAATAAATGTTGAAATTAATATATTTTATAGTTTGGTGGAAGTGGTGAAATACATAATGATGAATTGACTGTTGACTCAATTGAACGTATGAAGAGGCAAATGACTGGGCCACAATGGGAAAAAATATATGAAATGAACCGTGATCGTAATTTATACCAGAATTTAATAAATAGTCTTTTCCCTTCAATCCATGGAAATGATCAAATTAAAAAAGGTTGTTAGGTTTATATGCACATAAGTATTTGATTAATGCTTCATTTTTCATTTTGTTTATAGGTGTCTTATTAATGCTTTTTGGTGGAGTTCCAAAAACAACATTAGAAGGCACTACTCTTCGTGGAGACATTAACTGTTGTATAGTTGGTGATCCTAGTACTGCAAAGTCTCAGTTATTGAAACAAGTCGCTGATATGTGTCCTCGCGCTGTTTATACTTCTGGGAAAGCATCTAGTGCTGCTGGTCTTACAGCTGCTGTTGTAAGAGATGAGGAATCTTTTGATTTTGTTATTGAAGCTGGAGCACTTATGTTAGCTGATAATGGTGTGTGTTGTATTGATGAATTTGATAAAATGGATCCACGTGATCAAGTAGCTATTCATGAAGCTATGGAACAACAAACTATATCAATAGCAAAAGTATAGTATTTAAGATATTTTATTAATAAACAAATTTAAACATTTTTAAATGATAGAATTTTTAAGTGTTAAATTCTCTATAAGTTCAATTTAAAATTAGTATATAATCATAATTTTTAATGACTGATACTTTATTAAAGATTCATACTATGTTCTAAATATTAATTATTATATTATTTTTGGTTTACATAAACAAAATTAAATTTCAATAGAATATTTAAATAGATGTAATAACTTTAGATAGTTGACAAGAGTTAATTGAGTGAATTGATATGTATAAAGCTAAGCTCAATTAGATTTCTATACATTTAAAGAATACACTTGCCAAGGTTTTCTTCTGGATTTTGAGGGATGGGAAAATTGTGTTTATTTAAATATTTGTGATATACTGCATTTTGATGTAATAATTATTTTCTGAATTAATTTAAAAACTATAAGTGATATGGTTTTAGGCTGGTGTTAGAGCAACTTTAAATGCTAGAACATCGATATTAGCAGCAGCAAATCCTATTAATGGCCGGTATGATCGAAGTAAATCATTACAACAAAATGTATCTCTCTCAGCTCCAATCATGTCTCGTTTTGATTTATTCTATGTTCTTATTGATGAATGTAGTGAAGTAAGTAAAAATAATTTTTATTTATAACTCCGTTAAGTGTTTATAATAAATAATATTAACTTTTAATGATATATGACTGTAGGTTGTTGATTATGCAATAGCAAAGACAATTGTTGAAATCCACAGTAATATGGAAGATGTAACTGAAACACTATATAGTCAAGAAGATATTTTAACGTACATTGGTTTTGCTCGTCAATTTAAACCTCAAATCACAGTTGTAAGTAAAAAAAAGCAATAAATGTATATTTTTTGCTATTAAAGTTGCAATAGTATATTCATACATTGGTATTTTATTTTTAGGAAGCTTCAGAAAAATTAGTAAATGCATATGCTCAATTAAGACAGCGTGATAGTCAATCTAGTACAAAATCAACATGGCGTATAACAGTAAGACAACTTGAGTCATTAATCCGCCTATCTGAAGCAATGGCTAAAATGGAATGTTCAGATCATGTAAATAATAATTTATTTATTTAAAGAAAAAACAAATATTTTAATTTAAAATAAAATTTTTCTTCAGGTAACACCTAAACATGTGTCTGAAGCTTTCAATTTACTTAATAAGTCCATAATTCGGGTAGAACAACCTGATGTTAATCTAGATGACGATGATGATGATTTATTAAATGAAATACCTGATAATGCTGATGGTAATTTACTATTTGTATTATTATTTTTAATTTATTTTGTGTTAATAATATTATGTTATTTAGGAATGGATGTTGATTCTGTTGAAGAACCAGAAAAACGAGGATTAACTAAAAAAAAATTAACACTAGCTTTTGACGAGTATAAACGCATTACTAACATGCTTGTTGTTTACATGAGAAGTGAAGAAGAAAAACGAATAGCTGGTTTGTATTTAGCTGATTTATTTTAAGAATGAGTGAAACCATAAATGTATTTGTTTTACATAATATGTATTTTTTTATTATTTTATACAAGATAAATGCTTTAATCATTAACTTTGTGTCATTTGTGATAGTAAGTAGGATCTAGTTAGTATTTTTGGCACCTATAAATAAAAAATTTCAGTGCTTTTCATAATAATAGGGGGGAAATTAAGTAAAATTGAGAATTTTAACATAAAAAAAAAAAAAACAGTTTTTTAACAAATTAATGTATTGTTTAATTGTTATTATTTAAAAACAAAAAGATAATTATAGATGTTTTTCATTAAATATTCATATTGACATTTAATAGTTAATATTATATAATTTTTAAAATTTATTTGCTGTGTTATGTTTATTTTTATATCTGTACCTATGATAACAATTTTTAAGTAGAGTTAAAATTTTGTTGACATGGAATATCCTAACTTATATTATTGATTTATTTTATTATTCACAAAATATTAGTTGTAGAAATTTGATACATTTTAATGTACATAATAATTTTTTTTTTAATATTTAAAATATTTCTGGGCATAGGTTAAGAAAAATATTAATTTTTTTGGAAATGATAAAATATTCTCTTTTCTTTGAAGATAAAAAATAATGGAAAATATACATTTAAAAACTCACCATGGTATTATTCAGATGTCTAGCTTGGTCTGTTCTAAACTGAGAGTATATTATAGAACAATATACAGCTCTTACAATTGCCTAGCTTTAGTGATATCTACTTTATAGTAGACAGTGCTTCTTGATATGTTATTTTGGCAAGAAATACATTTTTTAAATTTTTAATGTTTTAGAAAAAGGGGAGAGTGAAGATGGTGGGTTATTACGTAGTGGTATAATCAATTGGTACCTAGAACAAATTGAAGATCAAATCAATGACGAATCTGAGTTGTTGGAAAAGAAAAGTTTCATTGAGAAAGTATTGGATCGATTAATTTATAATGTAAGTTAATTAACAAAAAAAATGTACTATATTGTTCCACTATATTTTACATATATTTATTTTATTTTTAATAGGATAATGTACTAATTGCTTTATCCCAATCAAAATCGCAGTCCAGTGGTATAGAACAAGAACAAGATATTGTTGATGAAGATCCTATATTAGTAGTACATCCTAATTTTGTGGCTGACCTTTAATACATTTTATTGTTATTGTAATTTTTTTTATTCCTGATAATCTTAGTATTCATTTAAAATTATTTATACATCAATTACAATACCGAATACATTTTGTGAGTTGTAACCATGTTTTATTTGCTAATAATATTTTAATGAATATATTGAATAAAAAGTGTAAGTGTTCAATATTGTATTGTATATATATATATTTTTTATGCTTTTATTAAAAAAAGTGTTTAAATGTATCACAATTAATTTTATTATAATATTATAAAGTTTTTGTACTATTTGCTATATTTTGATGAATTATAATTAATCATAATTGCTTGTAAAACTTTTCCTTGAAACAACCAAACTGATTATCCTTAGAAATTTAGCATAACCTTGGCAAATTATAGAAGAAATAATGAAGAATATATCCAAACACCACCACTAATAGTGTTCTTTAAAAATTGTATATTTGTATGTATAATTAAAGAATACTTTCTGTTTTATTTTATTTTTTTCTATAACAACTGATTTCATACAAGTAATGTTGTCAATATATATATTTATAACTATACGTAATTTAGTGGGACTAGTACAATTTTTAAATGAGTAAGGAAGATGCATTTAAGCTCAGTGACTATAGAGGTATTCAAAGATTTTGAGCTAAACTTTAACATACAAAAAAAAAAAATGGTTATATCTTATAAAGCACTAAAAAAATTCATTAGATAAATAAAGCACCAACTACAAACCATTAACAAAAATGTAGCAGATTTTTATTATTTTTGACAAATACTATATATTTAGGAAATAAACATATAAACATTCTAAACTGCCTCAATCCTATCAGAATATAAATAATAAACGCACATATACTCATACAATTATAGATTTATCTAAGGATGTGTCTAACATGGTTAAAAAATGCTAAATTACTCTTATACTCAAAGCTATATATCAAGCATGATGTGTTAGTCCCCAGTTAAGATTTGAGTGGAACTATGAATGTAAAAAACGATTGTACTTCTGATTCCACAAAACTTTCAATTATTTCTTATGATGATAAATATTCAAATAAAAAAAAAAAGTCTTGCGTTGACAAAATGTCAATTATGTATAGACAAAAGACAAAATTATTATATTATTTTGTCATTACCTAATAATATTTTATTAACTTAATTGTATTTTATGATAATGTGTATGTGTATTAATTAAATGTAAAATGATAGTAAGTAATAACCTAGTTGTATTTTGTTGTTTTTTAATAAAATATTAATGTAGATATTTATTTAAATTAATCTATTATCAAGACAAAAAATATATTTATACTATGTAGTATATAAATAAATGTTTGATGTATACATTTTAAGTTTTATGACAAAATAATTATTTATTGACCTAATGAATTGAATACATTACTTTATTTTATTCAGTATACCTAAGTAATAAGTATTCAGAATACTTGAACATTTAAAAATATTAATTATTAATTTTTATATTTTTGATAGCATGTATATAGTCATAACTCAAAAAGAATAAAAATACATTAGTATTAGTATCAATTGTAAAAAACTCGATTGTATAATACTATAATGTATAGTAATTAAGACAACCGTCGTGAGCGCTATAGCCGAACTTATTTCAAAACATTCAAAACGTTTTACGAGAGTCGCCTTTCAATTTAATCTCTATTCTATGACTAAATCCTTCTTTGGACGTTTAGAATTAGAACCTCAAAGACAATTTAGATTCCATACCAACTATAATCTCCCCTCGTCATCAAAATATTGGAGGTAATTTTAAAACTTACCTATAAAAATTCTTACATACTTTAGAATAATTTGAATTTATAAAAATAGTACAATTACCACGAATTATTGATCCATGTAACTGTTCACTAATATTGCTAATATTATAGATAATAATATTGTATAAAAAAAATCAGCGATAACATATTATCATCAAAATATCTCGGAAATTGTTGATAATGATTAAAGAGTTAATGAATTATAATATATTAATATTAATATTATGTGGTTATTTTGTCAGTACAAACTACTAGTATTCAGTAATCTGTACTCACAATTCTATGGTTTGATGCTTAATCTTGTAGATCCTACGAAAATAGTAAAATGACTATTACAATACTTTTACTACAAAACTACACTACAAATCCAATGAATAGCATAAACATATTATACTGTAGGTAGTTGTCATTGTGATTTGTAGTTTAAATGAATTGCATTATAGCAGTCGCGATAAAACTGTTGAAATCTATATTGACTTGAAACCGATTTGGAAATGTAATTTTCTAAAAACATCAAGTTTAGGGAGAATGTAAAAGTATGTATGATTCTTGTTTTTCTATTAATATTTTAAGCGTAAGTTGCTTTAATATTCAATGACTTGTGTGTTTTTATTTGTTTTATAGTTTTAATTACAATTCTTTCAAATTCTTTAATATGTTTCAAATATTATGTATACCACAGACATGATACTTAATTAATATGCATTATGAGAATACTGAGCTGAATAGCAGTTAATATTTAAAATTTAACTATAGAATTAATCATGAAGTCTAAGCAATCAGCAGACAACTCTTGGGATTCAAAACTACCAATTCCGAGTAAAAGAATAACATTTTAATATTTACTTATGCAAAATGTTGTTATTTAACATAATTTAATCATTATCCATTTATAATTTGCAGAGTTTCCAGTATGGTTATATATTTTAATAGTAGCATTTGTATCTATATTATGCTATGGTAACTCGTATTATGGTGGTTTTGTGTTTGATGATTCAGAGGCGGTTGTAAATAATCATGATGTAAACCTTGAAACACCAGTTGTTAAGATTTTTAGCCACGACTTTTGGGGTACAAGACTAACAAACCATGCCAGTCATAAATCATACAGACCTTTTACAATTTTGTCATTTAGGTATGTAATTACATGGGTACTTAAAAACATTACTTTTTCTATTATTTAAATTATAAGTGATTTCTTATTTTATTAATAACTATTAATTTCATTATTTTTAGGTTTAATGTGTGGTTAAATAATGGACATTTGTGTCCTAAGTCATTACATTTAACTAATATAATTTTACATGCAGTTGTTTCCTGTCAACTATTATATGTCTATAATTTGTTATTTAATGGAAATGCACCTAAGACTTCATTTTTAGCTGCTCTCATGTTTGCAGTGCACCCTGTTCATGTAGAAGTAGTATGTTCTTGTTTTACACTTGTATACTATGAATATAATAATAAATCAAGTTACTTATGTACCTATTTAATTATTTTTAGGTGTCTGGTATAGTCGGTCGTGCTGATCTACTTAGTGCATGTTTGTCACTTTTTGTCTTCATTATTTATCATAAAACAGCAAAAGCTAAACTAATAAATACATTTACCAACATAATAGCTACATTATTTTGTTGTGTCCTAAGTATTATGGCTATGCTATGTAAAGAACAAGGACTTATGATTATGGTATAATTGTTTGTTATGACTTTACTAAATTCTATGATTAAATAAAACTAATAGTGTTATATATCTAATTACAGACATTTTGTGGTGTTTATGAAGTTATTATAATTAACAAAATTACATTTCAAAGTGTTATGAAAAATACAAAAATCTCAAAAATTATTAGATTGCTTAAAAAAGAATCATTAGAAAGGCTGTTTATATTGACTGCTGGGTTTTGTATTATTCTTTATGGCAGATGGACTATTATGGGTACACCTCCTATTTTTCAACAAATTGATAATCCAGCATCATTTTTATCAACACCATTTGAAAGAGTATGTAAATTTACAATTTTTTCTTTTTTTATTATTTAGCTTAGGCAATTATGTCTGTTAGTTGTGGGATATTTTTTTCTTGTTTCTGTGAATGTACGGAAGGTTAGGTTTTTGCAACATAATATGTTTTCATATGTGAGATATGGACTTGTTACTAAAATCTCAGATGGTTATCTACCTGAAAGCTAGCAATATAGGACAATGCTTGATCGCAGCATCACTCAGTGACTGCAGCCAAAAATTATGCCATACCATGACCAATTTTTTTTATTTTTATTTTTAAATTAATTTTATTAATTTATATTTGTTATATATTTAACTATTTTTCAGTTTGTAAATTACAGTTATATCTATTTAATTAACATTTGGATAATGATATGTCCTGTTTGGCTATGTTTTGATTGGTCAATGGGCTGTATTCCTCTAATACATTTAAATGAATTTCCTAAAGATCCAAGATTGTTCATTGTTTTTGGATTTTGGATCATTCTTGTATTCATATTTTATAAAATCCTGTTTTCAAAAAATTATGATGTAAAGTATGTATTTTTTTCCAAAATGTATAATATATCGTTGTTGTTGATTAATATTTATAATTATATTATTTTTCAGACAAATGCAAATGGGATTTCTATTAGGTCTTTTATCATTTCTGCCTGCTTCAAATTTAATGTTTACTGTTGGGTTTGTCATAGCAGAACGGGTGTTATACTTGCCTTCTGCTGGTTTTATTATAATTGTAGTTTTGGGTATCAGAAGATTATGTTTAAATTATTTTATTAAAAGGGTAAGTTAATTTATCACCTATAATTTATGTGTAATATTTATTGTATAAACATTTGTTTAATTACATATTTTATTCATTGTATTTTAGATAGTTAGAATGTGCATTTTACTATTGATTGTTGTACATTCCATTCGAACATATCAACGCAGTAAGGAATGGAATACTGAATTAGATTTGTTTAGAAGTGCATTAAAAGTTTGCCCAATGAATGCTAAAGTACATTATAATTTAGCGAAAAGTTTAGCTGATATTGGATATGTACAGGAAGCAATAGAACGTTATAAACATGCGCTATTGTAAATATAATAATAAACTTCTTATAAAAGTAAATTATTGATATGATTGTAACATTTTTTAGATTACATCCAAGGTATGATCAAGCGATGAATAATTTAGCAAATATTTTAAAAGATAGGAATGAATTGGAAGAGGCCAGATTTTTATTAGAAAAAGCTGTTACTATTAGGTGAGAAATAAACAGAATTTAATATTTTACTTAAAATATAATAATTGACATTAGCAAGAAATTATATTTATAATATTCTTACGATCAGTTTCCTTAATTTTGTATGATGGATATAATTAAGTTATATATTTTTAGGATGTTGAAGTATTGATTTTTGAATATATATAATTATATTTTTTATTCATTAAAAAAAAAAAAATTCTCATACAATAATAAATTATTTTAAAGTAACATTTAATATTATTAACTTAAGGATGTTTGTTTCATTGTTCTCACATTTATTTTATATGTATGTGTTATATAGTAAAAAATTATAGTAAATCTATGTACCAGATTGTTACTCTATCATATAAAATTGATGATGAAGGAAATATAAACTATGCTCTAGCAAAGTAATTTTCATGTATTTATTTTAAAATGAGATGAATGATTTTAAAAAATGAATAATTTAAGTAATTCATTTTTTTTTTTATAAAAATATAAAAAAATTATCATTCAAGTGCAGCTTATATTGTTCTCTAGTCTCTAAAAATTTAATAATATCTATAAATAAATTGTTACAAGAATCTGGTAGATTTTCTGTGTAAATTGTATGAAAGGCAGTAACAACATATTATGTATGTTTAACTTCTTTTTAATATAATGATAATATCTTATTATTTTTATTTATCATTAAATATTGTGTTAATTAAAACACAAGATTAATATTATGCACAGAATGAAAAATATATTTAATTTTTTCTGTTTAGAAATGATTTTGCTGCTGCTTGGATGAATTTAGGTATTGTATTATCCGCTCAACACAAATATAACAAAGCTGAAGATGCATATTTAACAGCCTTACAACACAGAAAAAGCTATCCTCATTGTTACTTCAACTTGGGAAATCTAGTGAGGCCTATATGAAATATGCGATGGTATTCATTTGTATAATATAATTTTATGTTTAGTATTTGGAAATGGGAGAAAAGACTAAGGCATTATTTGCTTGGCAAAATGCTACATTTCAACAGCCAACACATGTAATTTCATGGAATAATATGATTGTGCTCCTAGAGTCAATAGGCGAATTAAAAAGAGCAGAGAATGTAGCTCGCACAGCCCTTTCTATTTTACCAAATGAACCAAATTTACATTTTAATATAGCTAACATATTAGGTAAAATAGATAAATTTGTAGAAGCTGAAAAACATTTTTTGGCTGCTATTAAATTAAAACATTTAACTTCTAAAACTGTATTAGTTGCATTATATCATTCAAATTTGGGTAAGTATTAATTTAACTTATGTTTTTTTATTAAAATTATTTATTGTTTCTTCAATTATTATAGGAGTTTTGTATCATCGGTGGGAAAAATATGATCTTGCAGAAATGCATTACTTACAAGCCTTAATGATTGATCCAAATATGCAAAAAGTTAAAAATCACCTAGCATTACTTCATAAACATTTAGATGAAATCAATCAACCCACTCTTAATATGAAGTCTTATCAACAAGAAAAGGATTTTTAATGTATTAAAACAAAGCTCTTGTTTCTTTAATATTAAGGTAATATGTAAGTATGAGTCTATATTACTATCATGTTTGCGTTCTAAAATGTATTGGAGGTCGAGCATAAATATGTGTATATTAATATTATAATAAAAATATTGATTTAATTTACAGAAAAGTAATACAGTTAAATGTAGAATGAACAAAAATGGTTAATAAAAAAAACATTTTTAATAACCACTGCTGAAAAAATAAATGTATGGTTGTGATTAATTTATAACTTAGTTGTTTAATAATGATTTTTTTTTTATTTATTTAATAATTATTTTTAAGTAATGTCATACTATAATTTTTATTTATCCCTATTATGACATCAAATTTCTTTTAACCATTCCAACGATATAATCTAAGATTAAGGTAGATATTAATTTACTTAAATTTAATGAAGATTAATTAGTTCTAGAAAATCAGTTATTATATTTTATTAGTGTTATTTCTGCGTAATGTTTGTACAGGATAATTCACGAATTTTCAATTACAAAACTGTCCATCATTTTTTTTTTTATCATAGTGTGTCTTATAGCAATTGTTATTAAAAGATACAATTTTTATAACTTTTTATTGCTAAAACATTGGGTATGTTTTAAAGAAATTATTTAAAAATTATATTTTGATTTTCTTTTTATTCACTATTTAAAAAAAGTGATTTATGAGGATGTTACATTCACATGTTGTCTTTATTTTATACTTTACTTAACTTAGCAATTTTTTTTACAGGATTCTTACTGCATTTTATTTATAGTTAATATTAGAAAAAATTTACATATTTATGAATTTGTTGCAATGATTGTAAATTATGTTAAAGTGACGTTTTTTTAAATATTTTTATTTTAAAATAAGTTATAAATACCTAAATTATTCATTTTTTTAGATTTCGCATAATTTATAAAATAAATACATGAAACAAATTATCACTTAAACTAAGTTTATTATCTTTTCTAAAAATTCTTAAGTATTAATTATAAATAAATCGTAGTAAAAATCCGGTACATAGATTTGCTATTTAGCATTTGTGTAATATAGAAATAATATTGTAGGTACATCTCAAGTTTATTATAATACATCGATTACACTAATATTTAGTCATTATACTAAGATTTGTTATTTTAAGATCTATACAATTAAGATTAAATGTTTGATTTAAAGTATTATTTAGATTTAAGATGTTTATATTTTTATATTGTTTTTTTTTTTTTTTATTTAAAAAATTTTTTTTTTGGGTTTTTTATTTTTTTTTTTATTTAAAAAACCTTTTTTTTTTTTTTTTTTTTTTTTAACAAGACTTGTTTCTCTTTAAACTATATATTAATATTAGTATGCATCACTTATATCATTAGTCAACTATATAAATTTAATATAATATATATTTTTCAGTTGGAAAATTAAATAACCTGGAACTGTACAAAAATTGTACATAAGAAGTTTAACAATAGTTAATTTTTTTGAAGACATTATATGTTTATTTATCACAATATTAACATTTGACATATTCATTTAATAATCTTAATAGAATTTTTAAAAGTATAAAAAATCATTTCTAGTAATTCAGAATAGGTTAAATTTAACCTATTAAATGTATTTATAGTAAATTAGGATATTAGTCACTATTAAATTAATACTTAACAGGCGGAGGCCAATCAATTTCTATGTCTAAAACATCCAAAGCTAATATGTCAACTGTATCATTTTCCAAAACTGTTCTGAGACAAGGATTTGTACGTCCAAAGTCTCCGTGTACAAATTCTTTTACATATGTACCAGCCTGGGTGGATAAAATCACATTGAAAAACGAACAACCATTATCTTTACCAACTTTAGTTGCTACAGCTTTTATCGAATGTATAGTTCTAGGCCTGACCATATTAGCTCTTCTATGTAATACTCGGATTGGTGTATACTGTGCTATTTCTAGAGGGGCACAGTTGTTAAGTTTTTCCATATCTGGTAACTCTCCTTCAACATAACATAGGGCCTTATATACTTTAATTTTAAATTCCTCACCAGATTTTAATTCTTTTAATTGATCTTTAACAACATTTTGCAAGTGTGTAACAGTTACTTGTGGATCTGTATTTATTTCATTTTCAATTTCCCTCAATACTTCATAGCTGAATTTAGTTAGTTTTGGATTTACTAATTCAATGGCAAATGGTCTTCCTCTTCCTAACATTCTGACATCAATGTCTTCTCTACCAGAAGATGAGAATCTGAATTCATCAGCCAATGCATGTTTTTTAATTGGATTAGATATTATTTCTTCAACTGAACTCTCTAACCTCCTTTCTTGATCCACAATCCAAGGTGTTTGAGAAAGGGTCCTAGACCACTTATTATAACGACCTGCAATATATACACTTTCATGTCTAGCACCTACACTTTTAAATTCTATTGTTGATTCTGGTACTGATGGCATTTCACCATATTGACTAACAAAATCTTTGTTATCCATTTGAGATAAAATATTCTGTAAATTTTTGTTACTTAATTTAATAATTGCATTTAAACAATCACATTCATCTTTAATATCATCATAATGAAAATCTACAGTAACTAGCAATGGTGAATGCACATCAAAACGTTTACCAGTAGCTTTTACAATAGCGTCCTCAGCCATTAGTTTCCAAGCATCTTTGGCACACACATAAGCTGTAGGAATTGTTGGATTGAATGTTATTCTCATTTTTGACACATATAATGCAATTGAGTGCCCACGAATAATAGTACACATGGGTAAATTAAATGCTAAATTAAATGTATCTGAATCATATTTAGATGTTTTTAGATAAGAAATTATTTTATTAATAATATCATCTTTTTGTGGACTTTGAAATAATCCTAAACATGCTATACAAGGATTTTGTTTTAGACGTTTAGGTTCATCATGATCTTGTTCTGATGCAGTAATTAATGTCTTAACATTTATGGTAGAAGGTTTTGTAAGATGCCTAACTGCACATACTCGACAACAACCAAATTTTAACAAGTTCTCTTGAATTTCTTCTACGTTCTGTTCCATTGTCATGTCTGAAAAGAATAATGCATTTGTATAAGTCAAAATAATTAATTTTATTCATATTTTCTTATTAATAAACATATTGAATATCAAATATCATAAAAAAAAAAAAAATTGGTGCCTATTATATTTAAAAATTTATGAATTAAGTTTAGTTATTAATTTGAAACTTATAAAATAGGTATAATATTATAATATATATTTATCTATAAACTTGACATATTATTAAGGGAAAGATATTTTTGTGTTAGTATTCTTGGTGTTAAAATAATTAAACATTAATTTAAGAACTTAGAAGACAAAACTCTAATTTTATTAGTTTTAAAATCTTATCAAGGTCTAATGTTCAATAATGTTGCACACACACAATGATACGCCGTTTAATTCAAATAGAACCAGAATCTCAATACATTATTATTATAGTCGTTCATTTGAAGTATTTTCAAAAATCGCCACTAGTATGTGGTTCAGACTGTTATTTTTCTGACGGGCAGACTACACGCGTCACATAGACTTGTCTCAGACGAATCTCGATGGTAACATGCACAGCCTGCACCGCGATATTTACGAATAAAGTGTACAGTAATTGGAATGCTTTTTTCATCGTAGCCAACTCGCGAATTCGCGAGTTAACAGGCGTTTGGTTCTCGGAGTAGTGTTACCTACCATTTTAGTTTAAACACGTATTACGAGTTACGCGGCCGCGGGAGAAGAAACGGATTAATTATTCGAAATTGAATAGAACTCGCGCGCGTTGTATAACACGCGGCAAGTAGTAAGTACCAAGTACGCGCGAGCGCGCGCGCTAAATCGTAATTAACTATGATGGCGGGCGGAGGCGGCGGTGGCGGACGCCCTTGAGCGTCGGGAGGTCGACCGGCGACGACAGCATTAAGTTGTACGGCGACCGGCCGCCGATCGCGTTCGAACTTTTCAAAGGCAACAGTCGCTGGCAAGTCGAGCTCGAGCGATGTGCGGCGGTCAGTGACAGAGCGGTCAGACGTAGAGCGGGGCCGCGACCCGACCGACATGGACCGGATATTTCGGGGCATAATGAAGTACAGGCGAACGAACAGGGCGAAAATGGTCGAGCAGTTCATCCAAGTGAAAAACAACCCGGAGGTAAGGTCAACGCGATCGACGTCGGACGTCCGTAAGGCGCGAACCTTTGAGTGCACGGTTTTGGGCTGTTGAACGTTGATGATTTGACAAAACGCTACGTTAATTTAAAACACTTAAACACGCTTTACCTGATTTGTAATCGTCTCGTCACTCGTCGTTGATCGTTGTCAGTCGTCGGCTCGGTCAGCTGCTGCTGCTGCTGCTGCTGAAACGACGTAGGACGAACCACGGGCCACTCGGGAATATCAAAAAATTAAAAAACCACCGTCGGGTTATCATCAGAAAACGTGCGGCGTGCGCGCTTATCGTTTCACGAAAGTCATGTCGGACTCAGTGTGGCCAGGACGCAACGATATCGATATATTTTGTAAAAACGGCCCGCGTGTTGGCGCTGCAGCAATTTGGCAGCTGGTATTTCGTAATAATCGTATTTTCGAGATGGAAACATAATTTTAATTAATCAACATTTATTTATTGCTTTTTGTTAATTATTCGACTATAGTCTTTTTTGTTCGTTGATAATAAAATAATCTATGCGTGAACCGTAGCAGTGGCTTACCCAGCGAGTCAAGCGTCGTGTGTTCTGGTGGTAGGCAGGGTTTTCTCACTTTCCTGTGGCTGGAACAGATACAATTCAACCGTACTTCCAATATTTATTCGATTTTTCAATAATATTTTATAGTTATTCATATCTAAATTCGATATGATTATTCTAGAGCATTTTTGTCGTCATGTCATTACGAAGGGGCAAACGATTGGCTTTAATGGTATTAATTACCTGTTAGTTATTGTTAAAGGTTGAACATTTTTTTGCGTGACGAGTGGTGACACAAAACTTCTTTTTTTTTAAGTGGCCCACGTTCTGCGGAGTAAAAGAATCGCGCAGCCATCCTTTATTGGTACACTTTTGAAATTAGTTGAGACGGCGCCCCTGTATATTCATAATTATTATGTTGGTATATTTTTTAACTCTATCGTTTTTGCCAGAAATTAAATAGGCCGTGAAAGCTACTTGGGTATTCTGCTCGCATATTGCTATTTTTTTTTTTTTTTTAATTAACGTATAAATCATTAATAAACAATAGCATATCGTACCATTATTTTATAATTTATAATAACATATTATAAAATCAACGATTGTACCTATAATGAAGTATCAATATAAAAATATACTTTATGTTCCAATCAATATTTGTATTTTCTATATTATATTGTTTTATATGCAAAATCAATAGTATTTTGCCATATATGTTAGGAAGGTGTTATAAATAAAGGTAATCAAATAAAAAAGTTGATATTTTTTCATAGACGTTATTATATACCTATATACAATATAGTACTTAGTAGTATCTAATTAGTGTTTTTGTTATAATAGTTATTAAAAACATATTATGAACAACGATATATTAAAAACTATAGAACTGTCGATGATATTTGAATACTTAAGTTTTTCCAATGCGTAACAAAGTTGAAATGTTAAATATTGATGCGATTATATTTTCGTAATTTCATTTATGCCCAAAGGATGCGTATTGTTAATTGGGTATTCATAATCATTAAATATTCATTTTTATTTTTATTCATAAAAATTCGAAATTTTCTGGAATAGTATTTGAATATTTGATAGGTATTACAAAAATTACGTCTTCATACGTAGTCTTAATCAACTATGATTTATAAAAATAAATTATTTTATCATATTATATAAGATATAAAAGATTCTGAATAGAGCGATGAATATAGATATAGTTTTATAGTGATATATATGTCATAAGTGTTCATTATCACTTTTTGGAGCAGTAAAAATTAATTGATATTCAACTTTAAAGATGGTTTCTGGTAGAAAATTGTTTGTAATTAATATTCAGGGTAAAAAGTAAAAAGTTTCCGGTAGTTGTTTTTATAACTGGGGAAAAAAATAGGTGTCTAGTGGGTCATCATTATTATGGGTGTTTTAAATTTAAATTTAATGATAAATTTTTAACCGAGTAAAACGATTCAAAATAAAATGGTTTGTCAGTCTATATTACAAAATATATTGCTTGGTATATTCTTTAGCTATTGAAATCATTTATTTTATTTTTAGTAAAATACAAAATCGAAATTTTTTTATAATAACTTAAAGTTAAAATATTTTTGAAATTCGTTAAAACCATAACATTCACGAATTATTTTAAAATTAAAAATTCATAATATTTTCATTTTAATACCCAAGGCTTGCAAATGTAATAGAAAATTCTAAAATGTTTTTTTTAATTAAAAAAAAAAAAAAAAACTAGCTATACTAAAAGCTTTACTCAAATTATCATTTTTTTGTATAGAGAAACTTTTAAAATATTTAAACGAAGGCCATTCTATTAATAGGTCATTAATATTATTTAATAATTATTATGATTTTTAACTATCCCATCCCTCCATCTATTCCAAATTTATTATCCTTAAAATTATGGATGAGCATGCTTGATGAATCACATTGTATATACGTAATAAAACATTTTTTAAAATATTCCATGCAAACTGTTCCCGCTCAGAGCTGTGTATATGCAGGGTATGCAATGCTTTATCACTAAATTTAAATCTTTCACATCTACCTAAGTGACTTTTTTAATGATGAGGTATTATACTCGACACCTGCTAAGCAGTAGAATGGCTCCTTTGGTTATTATTTTTGTTTTTTTGAATATGGCTTGCATTATTTCACGAATTATATTATAAGTTGAGTTCAGTCTGACACTCTGATTTGTTTTTTTTTTATAAACTTACAATATTATATTATAATAATATGTTGGTATTAGATTGGCTTGGTTTCGCAAAATCGGTATTCAATTGTTTCATTAATTCAAATTGGCAATTTGTATAATAGGGTCAAACAAAAGAAACCATAAAAAAGTATAAATTAATTTTAAATTTAATTTTTCATCCCATTTTTTTTTTGAGAATAAAGAAACCCTATTATTTAATTTAATAATTGCAAGTATATTTTATACAGAGATTTTTTTTTTATTTAAATATACATGAGAATATATATTTAATCTTAATTTAATATAATTTAACTCAATTTATGCTGTTATAACAAGGTATTATTAAAGGTATTATTTATATTTAACAAGGTACTATTTACTATAGTATTGTCTATTATTAGGCACATAATGTATCAAAACAATAACAATAATGATTGAATTATAATATTATAGTTACTTTTGTAATTATACAAAATATATTAATGTTTATCACTTAAAAATATAGCTAGAGTCATAAAGCTATTAATTATTATTATATATATTTTTTTTATTGAATTTATTAACTAATTTAACATGTAATAAGTTGGAACTAAAGATGATAGTATTTAGGCAATTATATTTTATTTTTAAGTACAAAATATAGTGAATGTGAAGTAATTTTTAGAAACACAACCACGATCAGTTTAACGTACATTTTTTACTCCTTAACTTAAAATTCAATGTACGACTATGATCATAGAATATAGATTATTGTTTTTAGATAAATTATCGTAATTAACTGGCGTAATATTTTATTAAGAAACATTTTTAAAAATAATATATGCTCTTTAGTATATTGTTTAAATTAAATTGTATCTATATAGAAATAGTTTTAGCGCTAATAATTTAAAATGACTTTACAATAATTTATAAATTTTTTAATCTTCTTGAACTTGTTTTTTTTGTATATCATGTGGCATGTATGAGAGACAGAAAACTAAACTTTGTGTTATGTACACTTAAGGTTATAAAAGACTTCTGAACAATCACCTAATCATCTTTAAAACGGCTAAAAATTTATAAATTTCACCAAAATATTTTTAAAATTTTTCAGATTATATTAGCTAGCTTTTACCAAATAATTTTATTTTAGTTTTTAAAAAATATTATGACTGATATAGGATAGTTTAAAAAAAAAAATTTAAACAAATCTTATTCATAACTTGTTTTAATTTTTCTAACCACATTTCAAAGTTCTAGTTTTAATATTTTAGTTTACCCAGAATCATTTTTCAAATTTTATGATTCAATAATTTATCTATAAATATTACTTTCAAATTTAAATAATAAAATGTAATTATAGATATGAATAGGTGAGTAAATATAAATTAATGCGTATAACATCAATTTGTGCTAGTTGTAGACAACCATAATTTCGTATTTTTTTACCCATTAGTAATAATTGTGAATCGTATCATTGTTAAATTATCTCTGTTTTTAATAAGATAAAAGTTTATTATTAGTTTTTTTATGTTCGTTGGGAATATCGTTAGTAAAATCATCATTTATATTATTTTTGTTACTCGTGTGATACTTTTAATATATTCTAAGGTGATATTATTCATATTATACAGGTTTACCTACAACAGTGAAAACTGTGTCATAAAATTTTATAATTGTATATACATTTTTCTATAAATTTACGCTCCGCACAAATATTATAGAATCCAGAATAAAAGTGAAATTATGATTTAGTAATTAAAAATTACAAAAATAAAATGTAATATTTAACTATAAATATTTTATATTCTAAATGTTAAATCAGTATAGCTTATTTTTTTCAGAAACTCAATTACTCATTCATAATATAAATTTTGTATTTTAGTATTTTGTAGGTACATTCTATTATTAGCTAATAATTTTTAAAATTTAATCATTTAAATTGCTTAGGTAGTTTAATAAAAATAAGACTTTATCAGCTAATTGTCTTAAGCTTTTACACACAGTGTGTGTTTAACAATCGATAAATTTATGTTAAGTATAATTTTATTTCAAGTTTGAAAAATAATATATATAAACTTACATTCATAATAATTAATTACAATAACATTTTACATAAACGAGTTAGAAATAAGTTATTATCGAACACAAACGCTATGCAAATGTGTGATACCTTGCAGATAGCCTCTCTGTTAAAATTAAAAATTATATTATCCATAAAATTTTTTTTTATTTAATTATTAATTGAGATATGTGTTTACCTACTGAAATTTTTTTTTTACTGCATTTAAGCGTATAGAACAATATTATATTAAATTAAAACTAAGTACTAAATACTAATATACTTTGATATTTATAGATGAAATGAGGTTAGCTAAACAGAATATATACTGCTGTATTGACGAATGTTAAACATAAATAATCACATAACGATTAAAATAAATTTTAATATTTTATTACGGTAAAATACTGTTATGGTGAGCAGTTCTAAATCTTCACAGTTAAAAATATAATTATTATTAACTAAATATTTTATTTACCCACTATAATTTTATTAATATATTATTTTTATAATTTCAAAGAAGTATAACATATTTGGTGGTATGGTTAATTTTTACTAACATTGGTTTTAGTTCATTGGTATGCATAAATAAAATATTATAATATGTAATACGATTATTCATTAACATAAAACATTATTATTTGTTTTTATAATATTTTCATTAATATTTATTAATAATTACTAGTAACTATAAATAATACATTTTTATAAAATATTGACGTTTAATTTTATTACCTATTTTATGTTTCAGCCTAAAGCTTTATTTTTCACCTGTATGGACAGTCGTATGTTACCAGCCCGATTTACTGAAACTAATATTGGTGACATGTTCATTGGTTAGTATATGTTTTATAATTTAGGAGCAGCATACATTCTAAGTTAAATTGTAGTTTGCTTATTTTTTAATATTACGTTTAAAATCTTTAATTTTATTTTAGACTATTTTTATATACCTATTCAAAATTTTACCGGATTTTTATTTTTATTATTTTTTTTAAAATATAAAATCTGCAAATGAATGTTACAATAAGCACGTTTGTTAAAAAAAGAATACTGTATTACATCGATATAAATGAAAAAGCAAACAATATTTTTAATTGGGAAATTACATTATAGGAGTAGTTGACAGTAAAAATATTATATAAAAATAAGGGTTTAATAATAAATAATGTAATATAATATACATTGTACAATAATGTATGTAAATACATTAAATATAATGATATTAATAAAATTTTGACAAAAATGTTAATATTCATTTTGTAACCTATTATTGCATATTAATTGTATTAAATAAATAACACTGATAATTAATAAGTTATTTGTGTATTTACGTAAATTACATGTTTAATTGCTATTGTAATAGTAAAAATATACAACTTTCAAATTTTTATTTTATGATATTTAGTTCGAAATGCTGGAAATTTGATTCCACATTCTCAACATTTCCTAGATGAATATACTACATGTGAACCAGCTGCCTTGGAACTAGGATGTATACTGAACGATATAAGGCATGTGATCGTTTGCGGACATTCTGATTGCAAAGTAATGTTATTCTTAAAAATAAGCACTAATAAATAAAAATTGTTCATTTAATACTAAGGTTTAATTAATTTTAAACTCTCACTTGTTTTCCTATAGAACCAATACAGTATACCTAATTACATTATTGTAAATTCATTAAATGCGTTTTAAATGTATACGTATATACTAGTAATAATATACTGTGATAGTTTAGATAAATCATTTAAGCTTACAGAATCAATATGTATCTATTTTAACATAATTAAAGTTTTTTTGCAATTGATAATTAATTCAAAATATACAACATTTAAAATTTTAAGCATTATTTATTGATTATATTTACTGTAGAATAAAAATCATAGGTACTTGGTATTAAAAATAAGATGTTTAATTTTCGATTATTTGAAAAATCATTTGTATTATTTTAGAAGCTTATACGTTTAGGCCATTTTTATAAAATCTGTTAAGCACCTCGCTTTGTATTTCATACAATCATATGACTCTTGTCTCTTGTCATTTTAAATGAAGTTTTGTCGTGATGTGTTTTGTGATATAGAAAACGTTGATAATAATTAATACATTTTTAAGTAGGAATAAAAATAAAATTTGAGAAAATTTATGTGTTAAAACATAACAATAGATTGAATTTTATTTTTTTCGTTAGTCTATATTAAAAATAAATAATAATAATTTATTTTATACCAGGTGCTGTTGTTATTATAATAATTATATATTAACATATTATTAGGCAATGAACTTGTTGCACCTGCTCAGAGACACGGAATTTGCTAGCATCGATAATCGCCGGATGTCACCTCTCCGATCATGGCTCTGTACTCACGCAATATCATCTCTGGAAAAGTATCAACAGCTAGAAGCAGCAGGCTTTGACACACCACTCATTTTTCAGGCCGAGACACCCTTACGCAGAATTATTGCTTACATTGATCCGGAAGATAAATTTTCTGTCACGGATAAATTATCACAGGTAAAATATACATATATATATTACTAACTATAATATTGATTTTAAGATTTAAGTATGTATAAATATTATTTATTCTTAATTAAAATATTGAATTCTAAATAATATATCTTAATAATAAATTAATATACATATACGTTTCAATTTTTTTTTTTAAATTAATAAATTTGTTATACATCTTATTAGTAATTAATATATATATTTTTTTGAACTGATATTTTTAGTAAATCTTTAAATAGTTAAAGATAAATTTTTTTAACTTTTTTATACATGGAATTAGAATATTGTTATACTTAACGATCTTTTTTTAATCAATAAATCAATAATTTTGCATATTATAATTATTCAACATATAAATACATAAATTTACATACTTAAAATATTATATTAGACACAATTACCTTACGTACTATAGTTATTATAATTTTAAGTGAATAATTAATATTTTTGTTTTTATTTATATTTTATTCATAGTATACTGGTTTTTCAAATTTCAACTATGAACTACTACAATTTAATATATTTATTAAAACTTAGTATCATATGATTTTAAATAATCTTATTTAGCACTTTATCAAGTAGATAATAATATATCGAAATATTGTGTATTTGTGTATGTTATAGGTTAATACTCTACAGCAGATGCAAAATATTGCCAGCTACGGTTTCCTTAGGAAGCGTCTAGAGGCGTATGACCTGCATATACATGCTCTTTGGTTTGACATATATACTGGAGATATCTATTATTTTAGTAGACAGAGTAAAAAATTTGTTGAAATAAACGAACAAAATGTGGATAAACTAGTGGAAGAGGTTTCTAAGTATTATTGCTAAGATAAGGTGAAGTATATAGGTACATCCATCCACATATATTTGACGCACAAACACACGTACACACGAAGACTTAACTTGGTGCTTAATATTAATTAAAATTTAAAACTAAAACAAAAAAATTACTATAATATTTTGCATACATTCCAAAACGAACATTCCAACTAAACAATTATACACATCACCGTACTTAATTTTATTTTATATATATCTAACTGTTATTGTTAATTTTTAATCAAAGAGATTTTGATCTCCATCTATAACGTTATTTTTATTTTTCATGTGTATTTATATATATATAATTATTGTTTTTAAATTTTTATCATTGTTTAAATTGTATAATATTTGTGAATATTATTTTGTCACCAATAAAATACAAGAGAAACGACGAACATATACAGTGTTTAATGTTAGGGAAATATTATAGAACAGCCGTCCATGATTTGAGCATTGTTTCTTAAATGCGCTAGATAAGTAGAGCATGAAAACTCCAGCCGGGATGCTGCGTGAAAGAGAAAGCAAAGTCATTTCTTTGTCGTGGTTTTCCACACCATGGTGTATTCTTTTACATGTTTTTTCCTAGTCACGGTTGTCGCGCGGGAAGAATACAGATTTTCCACTGCGAATAAGTCAACTCATCAAGGGTCCTTATAAATGTGCCTATATTACATAGGTTATCATCTTGAAATAAGTATTATTTTTGTCCCATATTGTTATTATAAAATCATGTATAATATAGCATTTAAGTATTATACGGACCTATTTTAATATCCTCGGGGTTAAACTTTAAAGTCAATAATATTACTTATTAGGGATTCGAATAAATTCATATTACTAAACAGTATACCGTATAGTACTTGTATATATTCTATATCTATACTTGAGTGGTAATTAATTTTTTTACCCATGGATTATGTGCACGTAACTAATTTTATATCAAGAATTAAAACTATAATAATTAAATTTATAATTTTTACGAATTAAAAGGATCGTTTTTAACAAGACAACGAATTTAAATAAAAAAAAAAATTATCCATAGAAAATATTTTTAATAGAATTTAATGCTCATGAGTCTAGGTATGTATAATTTATTTTTATCAATTTTTATGATTGCAAATTGAAATTTTATCTGTGAATTATTATTTTTATGATACGTTAGTTAATTATACATGGAAAAGGCGTATAGCCACGTAGGTAATCGAACTATTAATGATTGAAGTTCTGAGTTTGACATAATGCTCATCATTAAGTATTGATTTATAAATATATAACAAATCAATAGGTGTTTTTAAGTATAGTAGTTATTTAAATGTATTTCTTTATAGAATAGCTTATGTATTGGACGCCGGGTGGCCTACATTTTTCAACCTCGATGTGTCATGACTACAGTTTGTCATTAGTTTGTAAGTACTTATTAAAAAATTATCGCATCAAATGCATAAAATAACTAGATTATGTTAGAAATAAACAATTAAATTTACTATACAGAATGTTCAATAGGTAAATTGTAATTTATTAAACATAAAGGTGTGTAATAAATATATTATTTTTATATATTATAATAATATAAATCACAAGTTATTGCATACTGTTTTCACAGAATACTAAATAAAAAGTGAGCAAATAGCTGGTAACCACTCTACTGTACGGTAGGTGTTTAATGTACTTCGTCATTGAGTAGGTCACTGTAATGAATGTGTTAAATTTGATAAATCATTGCATACGAAAAATGATTCTGAGCGGAGACGGTCGTCGGCCTATATATTACCTAGTATATTTTATTGCTTAAATAGGTACAATATACATTTATTTTATTATTAGGAGGACAATAAAGTTGAATTAATTTTTGTCAAAAACACGGCATTTATTATATTATTATCATTATTAGTACAACACTATAAATAGACAATAGTTTAAAATTAGTTGAAATATTTTGAAAATTTCATTGTGTACAATAAAATATAATAATATACATCTTATATACATCACAAATATTTTTGAATTACAATAAAACAACTAAATATTATTTTTATAACTCTCTACTCCAACAAAAACTATGGCTTAAAGAAACAGATATTATTGTATTTGTATGTATTTTATATAAATAATTACATAAAAAAAAAAAAAAAACTAAAATAGTTATTTTTCGTTTTATATTCAATTTCATCAAAATGTTGGCTTCAAATGTGAACGTTTGAAAGTTTAAGTAAAAACTGCGAGGAATTTTTTATTCAATTTTAAAGCCCTAGCTATAAAAATTCAATGTTTTATAAATTTTCAATTATTAAATAATACTCGAATTCTCGTATTTTGACGAATTTCGTCATAATTCTTCAAACGCTCAAAAAAAAAATTACTGGATTTGCCCACATTTTTTTAAAATTTAGCTACTAAAGACTGATGAGGAATTTTTATATCGAGTTATTAAGTTTTTTAACTTAACGTTAATTTTTTTTATTGATAGATATATATGTTTAAAACAAAAATCATAATTTCAAATGTCTATAATATATTAGATTAAAAAGAATCAAAATATTTTTAAATATATCATATTTATAATATATTTTATATTACTATAATCATCTATCTACTATTTACAGCCATACATAATATTATACCACTATTGCAGGTTAACCGCGGTCAGTTTAAGTTTGGCCTATTTTTCATAAGACCGATCATTAACAATCTTGCGACCATCTTCAAATTTCGCACTCGGCCGCCCCACCGAACGCTGCAGCAGCTGGCTTACACGCGATTTAATAATTTATACGTTGTGTATAGACTGTGGAACAGCATAGCAACCGCGTCTTCCGGTCTATAGTAGTTCTTACATCAATTTGATTTTCCCACGACGGCTGGGGCGAGCCAGCTGCCACTGTATCAATGCAATACGGCGATATGACGAGCGTACCTACATAAGCTACAATTTTCTTTCGTAGATAAAATCATAGTTCAACATCAATTTGATCAACCGTACTTCTGTTGAACGGCGCCGAGTCATTTGAAACGGCCTTTCGGCGCGGCCACACGGTCGAGGAGATCTGTAAGTCGGACGCGTTCCGTCGCCCACCGCCGTCGTTGACCCGTCGCGTTAATGATCTCTCTCTTTCTCACTCACTCTCCTCTCTCTATTTGGTCTCTCTCTCTCTTCAGATCGGAGGTGAACACTGCAGGCTGCTGGTACGGGCAAAGGTCACGCAGGCCATTGCACGCTGCCGCTCGTCGTACGTGTCGTGCCACGCACACGCGATGTATCGGTACGGCCGAACAGATGAGGCGCAGCGGCGGCGAGGGCGTCAGAGTCCTGTTGACCTTGATTGGCGGCTCAGGATTATTATATTATTGTGTCCGTCGTTGCCGCACGCACACTCGCACACCACGAGAAGTGTACACACTATGCACGCACGCATGTAGGTTAGAGCTTGGGCCGTCGTCGTATAAAGTATTGTAAATAATACGCGCGCGCGCACACACACACATTCACGCACACACACACGCACGCACACACATGTACACATTCACGCGCACACATACTCACACACACACACACACACACACACACACACACACACACACACACACACACACATTTACTCACGCACACACACAGTACACGTTATATTGTAGTTCTATGTGTACACGACCACGGCGGCGACACGCACTTGCGTGGCCTACATAATAGCATAAACACCGTGTGCGCTCGCAGTGCTGCGCTGCGGCCACGATAAGATTTGTGCAAGTTCTAGGCCGGAGGGGGGACGCCGATGGTCGCTGCCGCACGTGGGACGTCGTCGCCGAACGCGATTGATAGGTTTTATTTTCCGATATTGTTTTTTTATCTCCAAACCCGCTCCCGCCATAAACGCGTTGTTTACGTTATCTTGTAATGTAATATTATTGTTGTGGACTGTAACGCTTTTTTTATTTTTTGGTTCTCGGATAGGAGTAATTAGGATTAAATAATAGTAGTGAACGCACTTTACTTACACTAAAAATCTCGCTTTATTGAAATTTGGCGAGACGGTGCCGATTACATTGATTGTACGCGACTGACTCAAAGTCACACAATATAATTTTAGTCCGTGATAATAATAATAATAATAATAATAATGTTATCGGGATCGGGCCACATTTCGCCTTTATCAAGACCGAACGAAACCGACACAAATACAAAATAATAATATAAAATAATATCATGCGTCAACAATTATATTATTATTTTCTGTCCGCACAGACTCGTTTTACCGCAGCACGACAACCCATATCGATGCCACGCGACGATCGCGATCGCCGGCACAGACGTGTTTAGGGGATGGCTGGGGGAGTGGCGACCGACCTGGATGACAATTATTACGTTGGGGCGCAAGAGCGATGGCACTTTATCACGGGCTTTATGGTCGTTGCAAATTAATATGATATACACGTCATGTCAACGCAGTGTAATACCTACTAACTATAATAATGTGACACGATATCTTTATCGAACATCGAATTTATTTAAATGTAATTATTTCGATATTTTCCGAATTGTGTATCGATAGCTATTGTTTATTGGTTAATTAGCGATACATTTAATTTTCTTGGATAAAATTGTTTTTCCTGCTTAATTGGAAAAATTGAACAGGTGCAAGTAGGCGGACTGCACATAATATGACTGTTGACTATTTAACCAAGTCTTAATTTGGATTTTACAAATTTATCTGGTGTATGTACAAGTTATATACTATACAAATACAAGTGAAATAAATTCTAAATAATGATTGCATAAATGGTTGTAAAAACTGGATGAATAAAAAAACCATCTGTAAAATTACAAGGAATCTGCCAATAAAATAGGTACGAATGGTACGATATATAATTATACTGCTTTTAACCCAACGCGAAAATCACCATTTGGTAAAATTTTAATGGACCTCGAACTTTAGGCATAAAGAGTATGGATTAACTACAATCTAACTCGTTGAAAATTTAATTTCTAAATTAATACAGGTCGACAGTAGTTAAGTTCTTTCTATTAAAACAATGAGCTTTCATCATTTTTTTTTATCATTCTTTTTGATCTTATTACGACTGTATTTCAGACCACGTGTTCCGGTGAGATGTAGCGCGTGGATACGTGAGTTCTTGTAAACATGAAATTGATTTATAACGATGTGACTGCAGTATGAAATCAAAATAGTAATCATGAAACGACCCGAAATACGGAAATAGGTACCTGCACGAATAAACAAAGGAAACAACAAGCAGATAAATGTGATTAAAATAAAAAAAAAATAAAAACATAATTAAATCTGCAATTTCTGGAAGAATGTAAATCAGC